AGTCACCAGCTGGAAGCACTCATCTCAGTGTCTTAGCTCCCTTCAGCACTGCAGGCAAGTGGAGAGCACAAGCAGACACAGAGGCTTTTCCTTTTGGTGCAGGGAGTCCTCTCTCTGTTCCTCCTGGGGATGCTGAGGAACTGTGCAGGAGAAGGTCTCACCACAGGCATCCGTGGGCTGGATCTGAAGGGGTCACTTGGAGGTTCAAAAGCAGTCAGCTGAGCTGCCCTCAGGAGGACAGGGTTAAAATGCCCTTCTGGTAATTATGAGATTAACCCCACCTGCTTTACAAGGTATGAGAAATGGATCTAGTAAAGAATCAAGTATGTGTGATAAACCTCTTCCAAAGTGATGTCTTATATCAAGACATTTATTCTGTCTGGCTTTGGAGTGACAAACCACAAAGGCTCCAGCATTTAATGGGGTTTCCTCTCTGAGACAGGAGAAACAATTTCTACGTCTCAGCTGTTTATGGATTGTAGCATTCAAAACATCTTCTGCACACACTCTCAAAACCTAGAGAGCATCAGAGCCTCACTCATGTAAAATCTTTGTGATTCACTCTGCTGCCAGTGGGGAACATTTCCTATGCAGCACAAAAGTGTTCCTACAACAAACCCTTCCTTCACCCTAATAGAGAAAGGAATGATCAACTCAAGTTAAATTCAATCTCTAGAGCATTTCTCTCTGAAACCATCAGCCTATGAGCTCAAGAGAAGGAAATGAATTGAAGGCATGGCTGTGATTGCTCCCCATAGCTGGAATTCCATGAAAAATTTAATTCTGGTCATCTAGAAGGTCCAAGTGCCACAGCATCCTACACAGTGCAGACAAGTTAAATGTAACAGCCCTGTGGTGAACACAAGGACCATCCAGGACGGCTCTGGAGATGATCCCTGCTCTCTGTGACTCCTCCACAGGTATTTCACCATTATTTCAATGGAGATTACTTCTCCCCTGTGGTTTAGGAATGGTATTCCCCAATTTAGAGTTCCCACCCTCCCCTTGGGCTGGGATGGAGAGGAGAATTGGAGACACAAAAGGTAAAAATCACAGCTTGTGATAAGAACAATTTACTAGAGATGGCAATTAAAAAGAAGTGAACAGAAATAGGTTCCCTCTCCAACATGGGCCTGAGAAGCTTCTTTGTCATGCTCTGAATGAGGAAGGGGAACTTTTATAATAAGAGTGGAAAAATTAATTAATATTTCAGCTGTTTCTGCCATCATGACTTTGGCTGAGTTTACAAATTAATAGCCCTTCTCTAAAATGCCCCAGAAATACAGTACAGCTGTAGGAAAGCATTGTTTAAGTCAGTCATTATTTCAGGAACCTGGACAGGATGGACATTCTCTAAGAAAATGTGGTTGTAATAGCAGCAGGCCCATGCCCTGCTCAAGGTGCTCTCACCAGAGTCTGGTCCCAGGACCCACCCCTGGGTGCAGAGTTTTTACCTTGATCCTCATCCATTATGACATAAATCACCCCAGGGTCCCAGCCATGCCCCTCCTGGCTGCTGCAAAAAAATCAACCTTATCCTGGCTAGAACCAAGACAACTCCTGTGAAGCCACTCACACCCCTTTTATTTTGGAGCTTCTTCAATAACTCATTTTAAAATTATTTTAATAAGTAAAAAAACCAAAATACTTTTAACTAGAAAAATTTTGTGTCTGCCTGAAGTGTGATTCCTGAGCCATTGCGGGTGTCTGGCTTTATTTACCTTGTCTCATGATCAGTGATGACCCTTTATTTAAATGCAATACTTTAGTCCTTCCATGGGCTGCCAAAGGCCATGTCTGGGCTGAGCTGGTGCTGTTATGTAATGACAGATGGGAGGGACAGCTCTGGCTTCAGAAGAGATCACACTGCACCAGTGGGAAGCAAACCAGCATGATCTGGTAATGGAAGGAGGTCTGACACTCTCCCTGAGGGGCAAAAATCCCACCAGGAAAACATGGGATTTTCTCCTCGTTGTGAAGCACAAAACACAGAAATGTGCAGCTTGTGGATGTGGAAGAGTCCTTGTTCCATCCTGAGAGCTGCCATGACTTGGTGGGGAGTTGGAGCTGCTGTAATGCAGGGGAAATTTGCAACATGTAATTCACTGAACATTCTTGAAAACCCATTTATTTTCTTCTTGTAGTTGTGTAGCCTTCTTCCTACTGTTAAATGGAAAGGTGGAGATAACGGCATCTGTTATATTAAAAATACATTGACTTTAAACTTCTAATTATACAATGACCAATTTACAGAAATGTCGTATTTTAATCACTCTTCAGTATGCCAGAAAAAAATCACTTTTAAAAGGCAGTTCTAACTGCGTTTTCATGTCAGTGGGAGAGGTGCAAGCCAACATTTTGTCAAACATGCTAAATTTCACGAGGACAGGGCCTCATATATCTTTTACTGAGGATGCTGTGTGAGGAAGGACCTGTGTGGAGAAAGCTCTGGCACAGAGTGATGTCAATGCTTTGGACAAGAACTACTGGGGAAAAGAGAATTACAAAGCAACATCTATCACAGCTTTGTCCAAATGCAAGCCCTTGAGACTTTGGTTCAAACCTGAAGGACCAATTCATTATAGTTTTCTTTGTTTTTTGTTTATAAATTGCAGAAATCTGGAGTGATATGAGACTTCTAGGTTGGTCCAACCAACCTCCCTAAGGCAGGACCAGCTTTAAAGGTGAATTAGTTTTCAAATTAATTCAGGTTTTTGGGGGCCTTTAATGTTTAATATCTTCAAGAATGGAACCTCCACACCCTCACTGGCTCCTTCTTCCAGTGTTTCATTCCCCAGTTCAGTGTGGAACCATTTGGTATTTAGAAATCTGGAGATGGTAATTCTTCTAACAGCCTGAGCAGGCAAGTTCCAGACTGTTTCACAGAACTGAAAAGTCAGCAAGGCTCATGAAATAGTTAATGAGATCAGAGCCTCCTGCTCCTGAAGATCCCAATCAAACAGCCTGTTTTTCTCATGTTTTGGAGCATTTTCAGCACAAACCAGGTGGCACTGATCCCCATTATCAGTTTCCTGGGCAGGACACGTTAGCCTGCACTTGCTGTGTTCTCTGGAGATGCCTGATGCAATCTTGAGTCCATGTGCTCTGACTCACTTGCTGGAAGAGACCAGGGGAGCTCTCGGAGCCAGCTGATTTGCAAGCTGCTCCACTTCTTTAATTGATCCTGTCTGCCTGTGAGCACGTTTGCATTCAAGATAAGACATCTTTGAGATGAGATCCAGCTCCACCATGGCAGAGAACACCCCATGACCGAATAAAGTGAGATTCTGTGTTACCCTCAGAGGCACTGAATGTTTCACTTCCAATCAGAGAGGCCCATCTGGCTGGCAATAGAGGAGCAGACAGGCAGTTTGCAGCTCAGGCAGACCCAGCCACTCTGCAGTAATGTTGGCAGACTCTGGGATGTGTGGGTCTATCATGTGCAAGGAAGGAAAGGCCACAGTGGCTCCCACAGGATGTGGTTT